TAATGCTAACGGAATGCATTATTGAATTTGATATACAGTTTGGTTCGGCAGCCATATTGGAATGTCCTTAGTTCATTTCCTTTATATAGAATATCATTTCCATTATTAAGATTTATTATTTGGATTGGAAAAAAACCCATTCCAAAGGTTACAATGGAATGGCGACGGTACCAACTGAAAAAAAAACACATTATTTTTCCTTTATTGCAGAGTTGAAAGGGAAAAGGGAAGTAGAAATTCCGACGACTGCAAGTCCTTCCGGGGAAATGTGGAGCACATTGATGGGTAAGATGTACATTGTTTGAATGTATCGTTTCGTAAAATTGACTACTGCCTTTGCTTCTAGACTGAGTAGCATATAGTACTACTGGCTCGTTGTTGATAATGGGTAAATGTCTTATTTCAGACCGAGTGACCACTCTGACATACGCGGTGTGGATTCTCGTGGCCCTGTTGTCCCCTTGCATACTGTTCTATATACTCAAACGCCTGATCGCCTATAGGAATCGTTCACATGACAAAAACACTGACGAAGGCAGTATACCACAGAGGTATCAGCAGTTATCTGGTCGGGATGAGGATACAGATGTCAATCCTGACCAGGTGAACCCCACAGCTCCACCGCAACCTCTTGACATGTCGGGGCATATTGGTAAATAATTCGAGATCAAATTAAGATAAATTATGAAATACGCCTTATTACTGTGGTTGCTATATATGAACAAAGCAACTGCTTCCTGTAAACCTACATTTAACATAAGCATTAAACGAACGGTTACATTTGATTCATAGAGATTACCTAGAGATAGGTAAAGGTGATGCTCAACCATTATGATTTTGAGGAACTCCTTTTTCACCATAACAGTCATATGACAATAATGTACGTCAGAAAACATCTACTTCAGAAAAGCACTGTGCATTCTGACGAATGTTGCCAAATTGATGATGAAATGTTTTGTTTGTTAAAATAGCATCATGTAAACGTAAGGGACCATTTTATGTATCATTGTGAACTAAATTATTATTTTTTTATTTGATTTTGATATAAATAAATATTTTAATCTTAAGGTTCGTCAGTCAGTGTATACCAGCCGTCACCGTCTGGACAAGGTGGGCACGACTCTACACGGAGAAACCACAGGATTCTGCCGGAAACTATACCAGAATCCCCAGCGGAACCACGACCAAAGGTTTATCTTCGGCAGCAACATCCTGTGGAGGAGCATCACGTTTCGGACATGGGAGACTTTCACCTACTGGACGGGGCCAGCTTGACCACTCCAACAGGTAGGAAAATAACAGAATAGTACCAATATTTCAAAGTTCGGCATGCAATACTATTTAGCGTGCTCCTAAAATGTACCATATTGGTCGATAAATTAGCTCGATTTTGGTATCGAGGTTTGTGCACTGTTATGTCACCAGAAGTGATGAATAATTGCTTAAGAACATCTTCCTATTTAGGTTATGTGTGTAATGTATACATTCACATTATACGTGATATATATGTAATATAAGGAGTTTTTATACTCAATATTTAACATGAAAACTGTAAGAATGTCTTTCATTTCCCAGGTGTTGATCCTGATGCTACGGTCGTGAAGAACAACAATCCTTGTGACTGGTCTGATGAGATTGAGGTAGTGCCGGACGACATCGACGGTCAAGCGCCTCTGTCAAGTAGACCATGTGTTAATTCATGTCCTGGAATGGTTGGAGCTTACACGGGTACACATGCCAGACGTACCGTACCAAGGGTGTCATCCCAAAAAAGTATCATCTCATCGACCAGTCGTGGCTCTGACAGCGGCAACTATACTTCAGCTAGCTCCAGCGACACAGACAATATCGCCATGGAAAAGAGAAGCTTGGTGAACGAGGATAATACTTTGACTGCAAATGTTTGAAACCATTATTTGGTTAGTTCTCAGTGTTCTTCCATTTTCCATGCTTTTATTTCCTTTCTAGGACACGAGTCCATAATTAGTTGTGTATGGAAGTTAGTAGGGATACTTTCGAGGGCGTTAAAGCTAGGACGAAACATGTCACAATGCCTACATCGATGAATTCTGAGTCCAATATTGGGAAATTTTGCTTAGCTCAATTTTTAGCATCACATTAGCAGATCTCTGAACTGGTGTTAAGGTAGAACTTTGAGTGCAGCGAGGAGAGACACTAACCAGTCTTTTTATGTGAATAACAGGTGAATACACAAATTCAAAGTATAATTTATTACTCGAGTTCTGGTATATTACTGGTAGAATTTACATTTACTATATGGTACAGTTCCCTGTGATATCGGATACCATTGACAGTGTGATAGCCCGGGAGGCATTCTCCGTCTGTCAAAACCCGGGCAACATTCTCCGTCTGTCAAACATACGTTTCACTTGCTTCGTTTTCGTTTTCTGTTTGTGTGTTAAACCATGAATGGGGCATTTCAGCGCTGACTTGTATTTGGTTGATAAATGGAGACAGAAACTTTGTTGTTTTTTACATATACTCTTTGTGTATTATTTATTAATTTATTCAATTCTTTTTCATTTCCTTGAAAATGCAGTAACAAAAGAGTAATATAATATCGAAATTGTTCATAGCTATTTAAATCTGTAGCTATTAAAATCTGGAATAGAGCCGATCTAAACATAACAGAATATGTTAAGTTGATTTGCATCTCGAGATCTAATTATTACAATAATATTCAATTGCGTTTTTAGGAAAAGTAAGCTTGCATTTTGTTCATGTGGTCTTTGGAAGGCATCGATTGTTTTTTCAGTGAGCTCTGTTTTTTATAGCTGACTAGCACGAAATTATATGTATTAAAGCCACGATTCGAAATATATATCAAAGGCGAATGAAAGCAAAATGTATATATAAATCATACACATTGTTTGAAGCTGACAGAAATTGCTATCGTCAATGTGTACTGTGATCTAATGTCTTTTATATGTATGATATATCAGAATGCATTTTCCCATTTGGGAAAGTCTTTTCAAAATAAACAGACATGTATACAAAGATTCACAGTTAATGATCTTCCTCGTTGCAGAACATGCCACTGACCGAGGATATTAGTGACCATGGAGGTCGGTTTGAAGATACGATATTTTTTTTTTTTTTTAGATCTGTAAAATCTATAAGCTAGAAATATATGATACAGCTTATCACACAGTGTTTTCAGGGTTGTCGTTCGAACAATTGTAACCCTGAAAACGAAGTGTTACAATCTGTAATTATTTACGGGTTTTATAGAAACGATGTACATGTATTATATATACAATGATAATACGGATTAATTCGGTATGCTACATATAATTATAATAAATAAAAATAATAACAAGTAATTATAATAAAAAAGATATAGATGTGATGTACATGTATGCGATAACGTTAAAGAGTTTACTGGCACATGTATGGTGTATAGATTTGCATTGCTTTGATTGGTATTACGTAAACGATATGATTTTAATCAGATTGAAGGTATAGTGTGATTCTTGTTGGTTGTGTACATCAGGCTGTGGGCTGTGATTTCTCCCCTTACACTGTGATGTCTGCCATGTCCCTTAGCTGATACAGTTTATCGT